AACACGGATTATTCACTAGCTGCTTTTGAAATTACCTTGGTGGAAACATAGCATCGTATTCTTGTTCGAAACTACCGACCTGTACCTTCCTGACACTGAAATCAATCAGTTTGTTTCAGCCTGAGTAGCATAGAATTGAATCGTTAGGCATTCAAATGGGCCAGTCATTTCTGTGTGAGTTTGTCTATTTATAGTTTGACAAAATCACTTGTGCACCAATGCAAGTTCAAGTGCTATCAGTATGCTACACGGCTAATAAAATGTTACCACCATTATTCGATTTATTTTCATGGTTCCGTGGGACGGGAAATAAGACTAGAGATAAAAGAACACAGAACAAATTTTAGAAGACCAATATGTGAAACAGCTGATAAGCGAACTTTTGTTGTGAGATGCTCATACCTTCGATTCTAGACAAGAAAGGGTTAACCATCCAGAATAAAGAACTCTTGATTTGTGGAACGCATACAAACCGAAAGAAAAACGATCGTATGAAAACATGTGCAAGAGAGGAAATTCCATAAAACCATCGAAAACCGGTAACAGATTAATGTAGGAAAGGCAGTAAGAAAATTCTTAATGCAGAATAAAGTTCACAAAAGTATTCGATCGTGGCCTATTTGGCCAATCAATCATCTGTCAAATCATATCAAGTTAAGACAGCGAAAAACTAGATCACGTAATTCTCCTGGCTGCGTGCTTTCATCCACGTTCTCATCGAAAAATGGTAATGGTCTCATCTGAGTAACTGTAATTGTATCTTATCACAGCCCTTGGTCTTCAATGGAAATTTGAGATGGTTCTTGTCCAGTTATTTTTTCAAACTGCATACCGGATTATCTGTTGTGAAAGCACACAAAAACAATGTCTACGAAATGTAATAAGTAACAATGCGAATCTTGTATGACAATCTCAAATTTGACTGTTCAGCAAGCCAAACACTATCGAAAAGTGTCAAGCCAGTTTCAACGAAAGTTATTTCTTTGAGGAAATGATAAGCTGGTGCATATTCAGAATTGTTTTTATTAATCTAAATAGCCAATTACGCTGCTCACCGTAGAACCTCATGACCAGCTTTAGCGGCTGATGATTACATAAACCAAATCGATTTGTGAGAATTGTGTGTGCCATCGAAATAAATTGAAATGACAAATGATTTTTCATTGCCGCTTTGTCTACCAAGAAAAGCCTGAACACAAAAATGTGAATTGGGATTCATACAGCTATCAGAGAACATTGAATCGCATCACGAATACACTTCGAATCCCTGCTCAGCTCTGTATTTGTTAACAATTATGAATATGGGCCAGAACAACGGTTAGCTACCCGCGATGTGACTGTGAATATCACTTTTTAATTTTGAATGTGTTCTACCTCACAAAAACAATAAAACACGTTGTACTGAGACCTCCGCCAAATCTGACACAAAATTCGTAATGTATTGGAAAAACACCTTATGCAACGCCATAAATAGTTCATATTCAAGAAGTACAAACTTTACGTGTTCTGCACAAGCCATGTTGCAGCAAATGAACGGCGCCAACTGACACTAGACACATCGGAAATACAGCTATCTAACTTGTGCATCTGGGGTGGATGTATTCGGCTGAGGAACCAAAGAATCACCGTTGTTGATCCTCAGTAAACTCCTCAAGGAGTAGGATTCACTGGCATTCCTGGGGCACAAGGTGGATTGCTGCAAGCAAGCACTCACTGGGTGTATCAGTATCGGAAGCAATGTGCGGATGGGAGAGTACTGGATACGCACAACTGAGGGGTGACAATACTGCAAAACCGGCCTTGTGCTTTCATATCAAGACAATATTTACATCAAAATTATCGGAAATACAAAAACCTCAGCATGCGATGTTAAACGGATAGTGAAGTCTGTTTGACAATCACTCAAGATTCGTGAATGAGCTCTAAAAGCAGGAAGTCCAACCGATTATACAAAACGCATAAATAGCTCCTTAGTTGGTTGGTTTGTGACAACCAAGGAGAGACGGTTATGACAAAACTGCTCTATTGTGGCATTCATGTAATGCGAATAGTACGGAGTCTTTTTGGAAAGATCCAGTGGTAAGTTGGTAAATTTACATGCGCGAACACTGGCCATGTTCCAGTCTCTCAAATGTTAGTGTCCAGTATTTAGGTATGTATGCACTACTGGTCTTTTCTAACATGATAGGTGAAACAAAAGCTAATTTTATCTTGTTTTCCTATTGTCTGGCTAAATACTCATAATGCACGAACCGCTAAAGTTATTTTTAATTTTGTTGAAGCTCTGGAATTAGAAAATGTTCAAAAAATTCATTTCCTGAAAAAAGAAAGTTTATTGGTTCAGTGGTGAAAAGCAGAAAATAAACAAAGATCGAATTTTAATTTGGAATTCGTGCAATAACAGATGATAACTTCTCAGTACACCTTTTTCCGTATCACCCAAAAAGTGATTGTTTCTACGGTAACAGTGAGAATTCCGCCAACTATAAAATCCAACCATATTACTCGGGTTATATATTTCTACCTGCATGATTATCTCACTCCTGTTCTGGAAGCTGATACCCTCCACCTTTTAAAAGACCTTCTGTATCTTTCTAAGGACGAAAACAAATCAACTGTCGAAAATGAAGCATTTCTTCCATTGGAAGACCGTATGCATTTGTAGACCTTATAAAATCCATTTGGACATGAACTGACAAACTTTGTTTGCAAACCGACCGTTTTTAGTGAAGTAGTTCTTTCTGAGTTGAATTTGTATACCAAAGGTCTAAAAATGTACGGTAGTGAAAATAACTCGTTCACTACTTCTCTAATTGGACTGCAAAAATGGCAAGAGATGATATCCCTTAGCATGTATAGTTACAGAATATCAGAGCGGTTCATTTCATACATATTTTATGCAGTGGAGTTTATTACAGATTTCCCTCGTGAGTAGTATGGCTTGTATGAAAAAGCCATACTTCTTTCTATAGGTTAGCCATTTTAACCAACGAATTACCTGTGGAAAAATCATCTTGCGACTTTGAAAACGGTCTCATCGTCCATGCACAAAACAATACAATTCAAGTGAGTTTACAATTACAAATGGTTTACTATACCCCAAATACCTTAAATATTCAGATACCGATAAACGTTTACCAACGCCAAGGTTCAAAACATCAGAAAACCACCAACAGATCAAAACAGTAGTGCATAATGAAGATTCGGGAACATCTTACGTGAATTTTGCAATTCAAATTTGAGAAGAGACGAGTTATTGAAATCCTCTGGTGACGTCCATTATTTGATCTTTTAAAGTATTTAGAAGTAACAAAGGATGGAGTTGACGTTAGTTTCGTGGCCGTTGAGGGTCAAACCGTCCTCATCACAGACCCTGTATCGTTGCGATCTCGATTAGATTCCCGCAATCGAAAGTTGTTTTTCCATTTGACAGCCCTTCATTGGTTGCGGCCTGTTTTCGGAAATGGTACGCTACTTCTTATGAAAAAGTAAATATCTAAATTATTCGTCTTCATTATTATACTTTCGAGATTTTGGTCAAAGCAGTTGCAATGTCCATCGAATTATTTCAATATTATTCTTAAATATTAAAAAGTTTAGTCACAATTCCCTTCCTCACAAGCCGTGCACCATAAACGAGAGCAAGTAATTGTTTAGTGCATAATGCCTCACACGATATTTCTTGTCTCACGGACACAGTTGAAGGAGCCTCACCCAAATGCCCACTGCATCACTGGAGATGATCGGAAACTAAGGTCCTGAGACTTGATGTGAGAAAATTCTTCAGGATCCACCAAGTCCGAAAGCAGTAACGAATCGGTCGAAAGGTGACTTCTGCCTGCCACCGAAATGATCGGGTCCAGCATTATAACCAAAGAAGAACCAACGACTTCTGGTAACTTCGTTGTTTGGGCATTTCTGCTAAATGGACAGGTGTTGTTTGACATTTACAACTGTTAAATCCTCAAGGGTTGGCCCGTGAAACTGTACCCCAGGACCACCTGAAGAATAACTGGACACCTTTGCAGACAACAAGACTCAACCAAGAATCAAGTTCAGAACAGCAGCGTGATGGGAGAGCATTACGGAAATGTTCGTGCTATTCGAGTATCCTTCACCGTGGATAAAACGAATGACGAAATCGCTTCGTCGGCCAAGAACGTACTTTTGTTAGGTGATATGCTCGCAAAAGGACACCATAGTACGAAATACATTGTATCCCATGACAGGACTGGACAGTACAATTATGAATTCCTAACAAACAGAACTGAAAGAAACTCCAACCATGCATCGATTATTGGAAAAATCCCAAGATCACGTGATTGATCTGATCATTTAAAATCAGTATGCAAGCAACAAGCAGACAGCACCCGCTGTCAGTACCTCGCACATGTTAGGGCCAATCAGGACACGAACGTAGCAAATACCTAATCCGTTCGTTCAACAGCCTTCACGAGCTGACTCCAAAATACTTGGTTGAATTTCTTCTTTTGTCTGAATATTCGGCTCATTCTTTCCAGGGAAACGCGGTCCATCTGCCGCCCCCCCCCCCTTCCCCACCCCTCCTCCACTGTGTCTGAAAACGATATTTTCATTTACTATTTCACCTCGATAAATATTTTGGGTTTTGATTTTAGGACAAGAAAGCTTCTTCAGCAAAGTTCTCAGCTGAGGTCGATGCAACTCAAACATATCAATGTCCCCAATCATTGAGCGAGATCGTTATTGAAAAGACAATAAACTGGACAAGTTGAAAATTCTTGCGGAAGCAACAGTCTACTCATGCTGCAGAGTTCACAAGGTTGTATTTTCAGTTCTCCAATCGGTGTTGTTCACTGAATCGTAAAATTTCGGATTGTGGGTATTTATACACATGGTTGTCGTACACCTGCACATAACACCAGTCGTATCAGGACAAGTGATCCCACCTCTTTGGTCAAGCAATTAGAAGATTTTACACAAAGACCATTGCGGATCACGAACAACGTGCGCTTTAAAAAATGAACCAGTGGATCTCGTTTTTGGTCATTCAACTGATTGTATTATTACAAATTACAGCTAGCTTCAATTTGACTACAGCACCGTGTACAAACCATGTGGAGGATTTTTGTGGTACGTTAAAACCTTTGTGCCGTTCTGACATATGCTATCATTATCCAAGCATACAAGTATACGTTTCTGTGGAAAATTATGAATTTTCTCTTGTTCTAACAGGGACAGATCTAATTCCTCTGTTTAGAACAACTTTGAAGACCATAGTTGAATTGGTACCAATGTCTTTTCTCGAAAAATAGATGTGGAACTTGGTTTGCCTAACAACGTTCCTAGGTTCCCAGGCTCTTCTTCAGGGTACAGTTGGTTTTCAACAGATCAATGAGCAATACTCTTTCAGTTCATCAGACTTTCAACAATGCTTTCGTTTTTTGTTAGTAACTTAACATCCACATTTTAATTTTCCACTCACCTTTCAGTTGAATATATCGAAAGCGTTATCGAATCATATTGTAAACCAATGGCAAAGGACAGTTGCAGTACGGTTTGCGATTTTCTCCGTCTTAGTGATTTATCACAGAGAAGATTATTTATACAAACAAAATTCTGCATTGAATATGTCATGAAAAATAATTCTGTATACTTGCCAGTGTAAATTTTTGAACGAATTCGATTCATTCAGTTGCTTCAGACCCCATACAAAACAACACGTTTTTAAACGTTAGTGTGATAGCAGTGTGCGTGTTCATCACCTCGAAGGTCAGAGATCTAAATCTTGCTCGATCACTTTCCTTGTACACAGTAATTAGCTATTGTCGTACTCGGAAGACTGGAATTTGTAACAGTTCTTCTCACCGAAGTTCAGAGTCGTGGTCGCCTGTTTTCCGTATTAGAATAGGGAGTAGTTGAAGAGAAGTGATATTTCCCTTAAACTCTGATTACGCTTAAGCATGAACTGGAAAGTGGACTAAATAGGCTTGACCTCCATGTACGGAATATGGTTTACCATTGTAAACATAACTTGACTAACGGCATAATAGATCAAAAATTGGATTTTCGTAAAACAGGTCCTCATTGCAAATGTTATTCTTGACTAACGGACAAAGTAACTTTCGAAGAATCATCTTGTGGTTCTAAAATTTGACTCTTCATCAATGCATTCTCTTCACGACTCAAATGGGATTAGGGTGATGAACCGGGTCATCGTTTGTTCATGCACGTTATTTGTAATCTGCTATTCCTTCAGATCCGGAATACCAACTATTTTATAACAAACTTTGCTAAATCTTTTGCAGAACATATCAATGTTTCAGCTATGGGACCCAGCGTGATGAGAAGTTGCACAGAAAAATGGTTGGAAATTTGTTGTAAGTTCGGAAAATTTTCATATTATCGTTATCAGTACTACGCTAAACTGTATATATATATGTATATATATATGTATATATATATATATATATATATATATATATATATATATATATATATAGATCCATTTATGTAAATCGAAAATTTAAAAGATTATCAAAGAAGACTGTGTGATTTGAAAATAATCTGTCTGGATATGGTTTAGCACACGAAAAAAGAGAATTCTTTTTTGGTTACAGATGAATCCACCGAAATTTTATCAAAACACGAAGGGTTACACAACACATGCAATGAAGCGTACCAAAAACGTTGCGGGGAATACAGTAAGAAATACGTGGGCAAAACTAATTGCACGAAGTACCCTGATGGCAAATGCCGTAAGTATCATATGCTACACAGTCTTTTCTTTTGACTTGCCTAAATAACTTGAATTTTGATATGTTTCGATAAGACAGTTGAGCTGGACCAATCAAATGTTCGTTATTGGTCTTAGTTCATTGTTCTTCCGCTATCATTTGCATTTGGCAAAGCAAACCATTAGACGATAGGAAACGAACAATTAAAGAAGACAAGTCAGATCGTCCTCCATATGGTGAACGAGGACTGACTTCGATTTCGATGGAACCCTGACGCTCGCCCCCAGCTAACAATGGTTGATTGATAGTGATATTTCTCGTTCCATGATTTGCAAAGCCTCATAACCCTCGAGCCTAAGTGCCATGAAAATGTCTTCCCTCCTAACTGTGGAGGGTTTGGTTCGAACAATTTGCTTGTAATAATATATATATATATATATATATATATATATATATATATATATAATGTCTATTTTTCCAAACTGGCCTGATTTGAGAACATTTGCCGATCAAAACGTGGCACAATCAGGGAGGAAGGGAGAAATGGAGTCTGATTCAATGCATTATTTTGGACGCAACACTGTCAGCTGGGCTACACAAAGCAGGTGACTTTCTTGGGAGTCCACAACGGGAGCGTTTACCTATCCACACCTCGGCCCTCAAGGCCACCGGACGAAAATTGGTGTCAGCAGCACAATAATGCTGATGACTGATTTCTCAGTTCCTGTGCCCTATGGCGCAAACCGGATATCCTGGGTTCCCAGCACCCCTCCGGCCACAGATGCCGATGACCATATTGCTATATGCTTCGAAAGCCGTCGGTGTTTTCGGTTTGGATCCAGGGTTTAATCATCTTCCTAGGACTGAATACTAGTCAACTCTGTCGAGAGCTCCAGAGTTTCATCTCCTTCCTCAAGCTTTGGTGAAAACACCTGCTACAAGGAAATAGACCTCAAGACTTACTTGAAAGAGATTGCTTTAGACTTGCGGTCAACTGAGAGTATTCTAAGGGGCCTCTGGACAAGTAACCACCCTTGAACTTAAGTTACCAACTACCTAACTGTGGTGAAGCATTTGAAGGCAATGATTTATTGAACAAATAGACACGGATGTCCATTTTTATCTGATTATCTTCCGCCTTAATTGTCTGTACAAAGTATTCTAAGCCCTGTATGTTAGGTAATTCACTGAACTCTTCAAATACCACAATGGAATGTGGGTCATGAATTGTGTTAGGTTTCCATCCTTCTTGAATTTAGAAGTATACACTGCTTTTGAAATGTCCGAAGGAGCATTTTGTGGCTACATCAAAACAAAGCCACTTAGTTCTCGCCTTCGCAGAGATACGTTGCCTAGGAGATGTCGGACTCGGAGTACTACGCAGGCGTCATCGCGCCTGTCAGAGAGCTTCTTAGATTATCGCCCCACTTTCTCTCGTAAACATCTCCAGTGACTTGTTGCACACTTGTTCCAGAGTAGACATTTTACTGATCCTATAAACTGGACGCTGTTCACAACAGCCTGGGATTCTCAACTAAGGACTAAGTAAATACCGTACCACCGCATTCGAAGCCATAGATACTAAGTGTATAGATCCCGAATCACGTTGGGAGCAAAGCCTGATACAAGCTCTAATGTTGCCATGACCACAGGGAAAGAGTGCTCGCTCCGCAATCTTTTGTACGGTACCACTTATTTCCACACAAATGTCACAGCTGTCCTTTGTTCATAAACATCCCATAACTAATCATTCGAAAGATTCTGCTGACTTGTTGAGTCTACACAATTCCATATACATCTACTTTACCATGCCCGCCTGTTCGAGACGCTTGTGATTTGTTCTGTTATTTGTGCGTTCAGTGTTTATCTAATTTTAGAAAGCAAATTTTGCGGATACGTGAACCATGATGCTGAGTACGCTATTTTATCTTTCTAACCTTTCCCTTTGATCTCTACGGAACATACTTAAAATACTTGAATCTCATACCACGTAGACAAAATAACGTTAGAAAGGCAGCTTAGCAGATTATTTTCTGTTGATTTATTACTTTACGGTGTTAGAAAAACCTTCAAATTTGCTGGAGTTAAACAGCCACATTTTATTTGAAAACAAGTCGATTAACCGTCAAACCAAAGATCTACACTGACCGACAATCAGGATGCACATTTTTTGCTTATTTTTGGCTGTTCCATTCATTTTCATGTCTTCATTGGAGGTAGCTGCCAAAAATATTACCAAACGACTCTCGAATGTTTTAAACGACTTAGGCAACGACCGGGATCACGCAATATCTTGTCAGAATATAAAAATCAAAATAGCATGAAACTCTCCCCGGTTGTAAGGAAAAGCCGTGAACCGTTGTTGTTCATTTCGAAAATAAAATTGTTTTTCTAATAAGATACCTAATTATTTTTGGTGTAGTGAGCTTTTGTCATTTCCTCCCATTTTGAAAATTGGAAACCACCGAAATGATACTGCAAAAGCTTCTTAGGCGAAAATATACAACTGAAAGAAACATTACCAGAGCCCGGATTCAAACTCTGAGTATAGAAGAGGATATGTACCACTGGTCAGCTCTAACAAGAGCAAAACATGAGTTTGGTGCTTCCGAGTGTAGAGTTGGTCGGATGACCTCCGGATTGTGCGTGGAAGGTGGAGTTCAAAGGACATTCATCCGAACAAGAAGAAATTCTACCAGACCTTCAAACAAATGAGGAAAAACAGACGAGTATACAGAGTTTTGAAAAAACATCAGATGGAGATTTATGAGTTGAGATTTTTCCAGATATGAGTAGATTTGATCTCGCAGTAGGCAAAACCTCGGTTTTGCGAATACCATCGAACGATAGAAAAGCCCATGTGGTTGTGAAAATGCGGTACATTTCAACAGAAATACCGACAAAGATATTTGAGATTTGCCCCTCGCGTGAACACTGTGACAATATGTGTAGTTTCTACTTTGTGTTTCGTAATTTCCAAGCTCAAGGGTACCTTATTTTGCAATCAAAGCACGATCACGTAGCATAATATCCATGGGAACTGCGTATGCGCCTGTGCAAACTCACCACATGTTTTGGGGTAACTAAATGATAACTCTATCGTCACTGCAATCGTGTGAACCAAAATGACTCCACGGTTACCCTTTATACCCGTACATTTTTCAAAATTTAGAAAACAACGATAACGAAACTGGGAAGGTTCCTCAAACGAAAATACACAGTTTGGGAAAACAAAACAAATCGAAAAGAAATTCTAACAAAAGACCAAAAATAGGTGAGTAAGCGCTGTTAAAAGATAGCATTAGAATGAGTTGCTGGATTGAATTCTATCGACATATGATTAAATTTTCTCTCACTGTAAACGAAAATTTGATTTCGCGAATATTAACGAAATAAAGTTATAGTACAAAGTGGAGTTGTATTGTATTACTTCGAGGAAAACTTCGGGATATGTATTTGAGAATCACCTTCCATGCGAACAGCAGAACAACCTGTGAAAAAGATGTGGTTCGTGGTGGTCTGATAGATTATCTGACTTTATGGTCAGAATGCGATTACGTAGTTTAGTTCTCGTGCGTACTGTGTGTGCATTCATGAAGCTTTAAGGTTCAGCATCATCTTTGAGAAATATTACCGAGTATCATACCACGTCACGCATCCGCCACATTTAAAGATAATATTAGTGTAAGAGCACACTCCAGTGGCTTGAACTCCCTTCGTGTAAAGACGGGAACTTTTGATTTCCCTGAATATTCATGGGTTCAAGAATTTGACTGCACAACCTTTAGATTAATTGAGCATATTACGGAAGATGAACGGTCTTACGCACGTCATTAAAAAACAGAATTCCGGCGATAACTAGTTGATTCCATTAGCCAAAATCACACACCCTCATCAGGACCAGAAATTCTCCAAACATCTACCGAAAGCACTCAGAGCTCGGGAATCCCAGGCCACAAAAACGGAAAAAAATACAGAACCTTTTTTTGGAATGTTTCGCTGGTGATACAACGCTGTTTGGCATGCAGTAGGACCTATAAAGCCCTTAACTTTTACCACATCTTTCCATTTCAAATCGTGATAGAGTAACACATCCAAATTACCCTCACCCTCACTGACAACCTAAACCGTTCCTTTAAAATATTTCCAGCTTGAGCATTCTTTTTCATTGTTGTTATTATTAAACTGCCGGAAACGCTTCTCAACAAACCGCAAATGTTTAGCACGACTTAATAATGCTCATACTGAGAAAAAGGATTCATCGCAAATCGCTGGACTAATTCATCCAACATCACTTGAAAAGCTCTGTGGTCGTACTTGAGCGCGGCATATTTGGAGTATTTATCGGGCATTTTTAGGCTGAAACAATGGTATTTTCACTCAAAAACTACTGCCCATACTCACTGTCTTAAAGTTAATTTGGTAATTGTGTACGGCTGCAATAAAATGATGAGCTTTCTTTTGGACCACTGGTTGATATCTCTATTGCCGTTATGACCACGTATTGTATATACTTTATACCAAAATAACTTCATATTTCGCCGTTTTCCCCTTTTTTCATTTAGTAAAAACCAGGAAAAATGCAACCAAAAACTCTTCTTTAACGAGGATGAGCAATTTGGGAAAACAAATCAATTTTAAAATATCATCTAAGAAAAGACGAACTATAGGTGAGAGCAAACATTTTGTAAATAACGTCAAACTGACAAGGATCTACTGGATTAATCCAGAAGTAAATGGACTGTTTCCTGCTGAAGTCGAAATTTCCGATTTGTGATTATCATTGATAGATCGAGTTGTACACGAGGTTGTGGTATAAAATTACCGTGTTTAATTTCATTGCAAAACAAAGACCTCTCGTAAGATAAGTGAAGTCCATCCCAGCCATATTCTCGCACGTTATTCCATAGCATGATGATGTACTTCCCAAATAGGATACGTGATTCACAATATTTACTTTTGAGAGTTCCACCACGGTATGATCAAGTCGTCTCATATCGGTTTTCAACACTAGTAATATCTTGACTACGTTGACGTACTGGAAATTTTTATACATAATTTGGCGTTTGTGCAAAATATTGCTTAATCTGCTCACTCAAATCCGTACAACTGGATATTGCATTCACAGAGTGCAGTTAGACCCAGGAATTTCCCAACTTTCCTTTTCATTACTTCAGCTGTTCACAGGCGTTCATTTTTTGGTGCAACTGAGGAAATCACAAAATTTCCCGTATATATGACGGAAACCAAGGCTGATCGAATGCGCTTTCAGAACATGTTTGTGAGCCTCGGAAAGATGACCTGTAAATTAGTTAACTTATTTCAGTATAACATGTTGTAGTCGGGAACGGAAATGCGTGCTCCTTCTTCAGTTTTAATCTGGTGGCTTTTCGTGATTTTTCTCAGAACAATGGATTTAATTTACTTGAATTTGTAGTGTACAAGACTGTCGCCCCGTTACTGAGCGACTCGTGGATAAGCAAACCCCGAGTCCCAAGGCGGAAGGCACAAGTTCGCTTTATTACAAGTACTGTAGGACAAATTATCAAAAAATTATTAACTTACTTCAAATCGCGTATAGGCCCTTAACAGAATCAAGAAAGTCAAAGAGGGCTTCAAAACGCCCGGGCGAGAATGGACAGAAAAAGCTTCAGATAGCAATGCAGGAGTGAGTCAAGTGGTTCACAAAGAATGTCCTCGATTATGGGAAAAATTTTGACCACCCGACAGCCAGAAGTAATTGTCTGAAGGAACATATATATATAGGTGTGATGAAGAACAAATGGAATATCCTGGCTATGAGAAAATAGTATGATCATAACGGGATGGCCGAAACTCAGTCATTCACACTGATAAGCCAAAGAGAGAGAGAGAGAGAGAGAGAGAGCCAGAGAGAATTATACCCAGCCAGTGGAGCCCGGTCAAACAACCCAGGTGGTAATGAGCCAATAACAGAATGGGGCGGGCAACAACCGACACATGATTGGGGAAGAGTGAAGGGAGACAACAACTCCAACGCAGTTGTCGTCGAAACCAGTAGGTCAGTACATATAGGAAACCAACGATGACGATGTTTACGTAAGCTAATAAAATCTATTAATAATCAGGTTGCAGTATGCAAAGATCAGTGTTCCTCCGAGGTAGGTTGCCCGTGTTTGGTCCAAAATAATAAAAAAAGAAAATTCCATGGGCACAAAGGCTCTGTAAGAGCATTACAGGGATCCTACACTTACTTTAGTTGAACAAACTGTCAACAACCTGCTCACTACAACGGTTTAATAATAAAATACAAGCTCAATAAATGAACTCAAGACAGATGCGACCTAAAGTCAATCAACAATGGTCATGAAAACAAGAAAAATAAATTATCACGCTGGCTACTTGGCGAGAGGGCAGTGGCCCGCGTGGAAACCAATGGTCTAGCTCATGGGATCTAAAGAAACCTTTTGTTAAGTGCGATGTACAAAGTTATAATGAATAGCATGGGATCTGAACAAAAACAGTGTGAAGGGGTTTCCAGATATGGCAAACGAAAGGCTTGAGTAAGATCATGATGCCAAACACGGTATCAGGTTCAATGTAATAATTCACTTTATAATACCGCCAAATTTATCAAAGGAAATCGTGGAAGTACACATAGATGGTGTCATCTGCATTGTTAGGAAACATCAGCATTGTACATCCGCAGAACCTCCACTGGGATTCCAACCCTGAGCAAATCATTATGAGTCAAACTGCCTAACTCCAGTCTATCCGGAATGATTCTCAGCCGTTTGTTTCATTTATGTTCGTAAATTAGCCAAGGCTTTTATTTGGCTGGAACACTTTTCATTAAATTTAGCCTCGAAGGACAGTTTATCCACAATTGAACTCGGTCGCTATGCGAGCAACAGATTGTTCTCATGCAAAAGCCAGAAAGTTATAGAGAGCAGTATTGAGTTAAAACAAGCAATTTGGACCCCGTCGGATATATCCGACACATCTTTTGAGCCGTTTTCTGGTCACACCTGAGAGTTTTACCAATATGCCACTCATACTTTCGGTTCTATTCGTGACTTTTCTTTTCTCCTGCCCTTTTATAAAGTCGGATCCAAAGGGAACAAAACTAGAAAGAGCTCTGAAGAAGAAACATACAACTTGCCCAAACAAACTAAAGTCAAAAGAGTTTCTAACAGAAAAAGAAAAGTTGGTGAGCGTATGATATTTGCAAATAGCGTCAAATTGAGATATTTATGTTACATTTTATCCATATTTAGTTGCAACCTTCGTCACTCTAAGCAAACCATCCATTTGTAGAATATCACAGAAAGATATAAATACCACATTTGGTTGTAAAGATTCGGCAAGATTCGAGAGAAACATTGGCATTGATATTCGCCCTCTGCCTCCCGCACGAATATCATGACCATCTGTGGGATTTTTACTGTTTGCTTCGTAATTGGCTCGTGTATTGTTGGTTTAATTTGCGATCAGAATACCATCACCTAGTATGGCTTCCATGTGAATTGTTTATGCCTCCGTGAAACCCCGAAAGTCCAGCATCATTTCTTACGGGAGTATTGTGGAGTATCAGATACGATTGCGACTCTAACACGTTCACATATTTTAGTAAACCAGAGTCAAATGCTTCATTACAGTCAAATGAAGGTTCAGTATCACTGAACATTCGTGGGTTTTGGGTTCCTTCAAACAATCCTGAGATACTCTGAGAAGCCTTCAATAAGCGATCCGTCGCACCGTGTGTCACTATGAATCAGTTATCTAACGGTGACTAGTAGACTGGATTGACAAAACTCACACAATCTAACCAGATCCAGAAACCGGCTCACCACAGAATTATCCCGGTTCGGAGTTGGATCTGGCAATGCACTATCTGATTTGACAGATTACATCCATCGAATCGAACGTGAGATTTTAAAGCTGTCTAGTATCCGGCCAAATAGATAATAGTCCATTCCTAATTCACAAACGCCTTCACTTGTGAACGGAGTTTGCAACCGAGGGTGATTTTTACCTCAAAATGGTGCGCGAGGACGACCAAAACTTTTCTTTCTTCCAGATACTGATAGCACTGACATTGTATTTAAATCCCATTGACCGTATCTCAGTGAATCCATGCTGTTTATTACCGTTTTGTACAAATCGTAATGGTTATTTTGATGGAAATGTTTACTTCCATACAGGAGATTTACAAGTCAACTAGATACCACCCAAATGATAAATATGCATAACAAGTGATTTGCCTCATCCAAAAACCTCGAACTGTTGGGTTCGAAATAAGCCACCGTTGCTCGTTTCCTTATTCGACAGCTTTTGATAAGGTAGCCTTTCGATTCTTGAAGTGATGTTACCTCTCTGCATATTAGGTAAACAAGGAACTAAAAGATGACTTTGTTCTGTCGGTTGTTTAGCAATACCAATTTGCGATTTACTTGAATCCACACGTAGCAGACATAAGTGTATGAATAACTGCTCGTCCTTTCCTTTGTGAATGCATGCACAGACAACAAAACAAAGTCGATTGTTCATAAAGTGATCTTTCAAAATCCGTCAGTTTACACTAGACCATCAAGAAGAAAACACATCCGAGTCGACTGCGAAGAAGCAGCTACAATTGCTTGTCGTAAGTCACCATTTCTGTTCTCTTTAGGATCAATGAACATACGGGTTTGGAAAACTCCTGCGTTGAACATTCCAAGAGATCATAGCAGTTATGGAGCGAATCTGCTATTCATCTGTGATTTTGAACTCGGGAAATCTTTTCTCCTGTAGCACTGGCAAAATGGTTGAAATTTATCAAATTTCCAAATCGTGAGAAGTTCGTTTCACTTTCAGCAAACAGATTAGGCTAGTCTACAGATTTCGGTGTATACGTTTCTAAAAACAATCAGAATTTGATTGGCAAATATGCAGAAAGCCGACGACAGTGATGGTTATTTCGAAAAATCAATCACCTTGAATAAACAAAAGCGTTTTCAGGTAGCTTGCGCGAATCAAATTACGAACAGCACAGAATCGTTCACTTTTGTTCACATCGTATCTACATAGTAGTCCACTCACGGCGTCATTCGAAAGGTATTTCACAAAGTAACTTTCCTGCCTTCTTTCTGTCATTCCTTCTATTGAATCCACCGAAAACAACACAGAGATTCCCTCATGTGAACGACCATCGAGTGATTCGCACCGTTCTATTTCATTGATTCCCAATTGAGTCTTTCGGGAGAGATACTGGGAACAGCTACTAGCCCATCGGGTAGAGTTGTGTAATCAGTTCAGAGATCGACGCATAATTCAAACACCAAGACTCATGAATCCTGAAGATCTTGTTTCAGTTGAACGTTTTCTCGGTTACCATCTAGTTATTACCCTAGTTACGTCAAACGTCCTTGTCGAGCTAGCATTTTCTTGTAGGAAGGTGTTTGTATTCAGCACGTGCGCCACAGCTACACTGAACCCATGCTGTGAATCAGATTGACCATTGAATTTGAAAAACCAGATAAGATAGCGCACTTAAATAACTGAAAGCAAATAGCTTTTGCAAAGTTCTCCGCAAGTTGTTTACCCGCTATTTTCGTTCGTCTAGATGTCCGCGTTTTACAACCACTGGTTCCCATGATTTTGTCCACAGTTCAATACATCAGAATAATGCTTTCGGACATTATGGTTTGGAATGCGTGCAACGAATTCCTACTAACGTATTGCCGTACGTCCCCCGGTTTCTTCATATGAATGCTACCTGAACATTTTTTTTGAGAACTCATTTCTTGGAATCAACGGGTACTGATAAATTATTCTCAACCCTTATTTCCGGTGCTCCACTTTTCTAGAAGTCTCGTTACTTGTTGTTTGATGAAATATTTATTAAATTGCTCATGAATTTCGATCAACCGTTTCGTCTTTTTCGTGTTTTAAAGATTACTACAAGGAAGATGGCTGAAAGAAGTTGCCCATATTGTGATCAACGATATTTCATTCTATAATCATCCGTCAACACCTAGTCAAGCACGACTGACACCAACGCTGTTCTTCTTCATGACTCCGCAAGAATATATTCGTCTATGCTCGTTTATTGTTTTTTCTGTTGCGAAGATTTGGGACTAACGATTCCATCAGGACGTATTCAGATTACCACATTCAAATAAGAAATATCATACGGATTGATATCTAATCCCTTTTAGAAATTTCCGACTACGATCGTACTGTTGGGATGCCTGCATTTGCGTACCGGAGTTTTCTATCAACCAAATCCAATCACTTGCACTTTATACCCTGTGGAACATGGAATACCTTCTTTTAAATGTATTCAGGCATAAACTCATACAATATACTCAGTGTAGTTGAATATTTCATCAATATCCTGGAAGTATGACAATGACAAACACCATGCAACTCAACATCAAACAAAGAAAAGTAAACACTTGTTTTCTTGCGATTTGATTCGGTTGGCCGATTTCATCTGACTTGAGAGAAGAGGATCTAACGAAAACATTTTTTTCAACAAATTACCAGCCAGATAAACTGCATGGGGAAAATTTTGCGTTCCCGAAAGTCTGATGAAAGACGGCACGTGCTTGCATGAGGAAAAAGGTTTGCAAATAATTGCAGAAGGTCTGATTGTGAAGTCGAGTAGTTTATCTTTCGCGCTTAGGCTCCATGATGAACTTCAACAGGCAAGTTACAACACAAACTCCGCCAGATGAGTTCCTTTTGGAAAATCTTACCGATTTCTCACTTACAGCTTGAAGCATCCAAAGCAATTATATGAAACCGGGTAATCAGTTAGGGCCAGGATGGGCTAAGAGTGAAGGTCACACGCTTTTGGTCTCATTGAGCCTGCTTGCAAGAGCGATCGTTAATAGTCTCAGTATCCACAATCGGTGTTCTGGACATTATTGGTGTTCTATTCTCAAGTTCGATTCAGGTCTATACATATATATATATATATATATATATATATATAGAGAGAGAGAGAGAGAGAGAGAGAGAGAGAGAATGTAAAGTGAATTCAGTACACTTATGAAATTCCCATGTAGTTCTCTTTTCTCACTCCTGTGACTTTGATCAGAGTGTTACCCGGCCTTTCCAAGCGCTTCGACCCACAGAGCTTCCTTTAATTTCCCTGGATTAAACCCGGTTATTTTGCCTCCCTTCACTTACCGCTTCTCCATGGGTGTATTTTACTCTTTATCGATTTTCCATTCCGGTCAATCCAGGGACCTACGACCTTCGAGCCTTTCGTGCGCCATATATACCCTACCTTGTGTGTCACGTTTTCTTACGTTCTTTGTCGGCTCTCTCACCCGTACTGTGCCAGTGACCTTTGCACTTTCATCCCATGCTAAAGATCACGCCACATTTGCATGATCGTCTAGATCAAGCGTCCGTGCAATCCTCTTAATCGTCGTCTGAACTAGTTTCATCGTCATATTTCCATCCACCCGTTGTATTTATGTACCACGCTCTTTCTATGATTGGTTCATTTTTCTTGCTATAGAAGCTGAATTCCGTCCTATTCTGATGCTTCCGTCCAGTACCACTCGACATACGTTCCTCGCCAGACAGTTCGAACGGTATGTCTACTCCCGGACCCTTGTGATTGATTTGGTAACAAAATTGAGGTATGTTTTTGTGATTGTAAGCATCGTTCGCTAAAGTACATAAAGATTACCGAATCGAATTATTTGACTTTGGGTTTCGGATTCGGGCTCTATGAGTCACTCAACCAATGGACAGCAGTTCAGTTACAAAGAGGGGGAAAGACAGAGACTACCTGAGAAACTATTTACACAGAATGAGTTCTGATTCTTTCCACAAATCGATATTTCAGTAACCTAGTGTACAGATTTCATCTTCAAATCACCTATGGTTTTGTAGGAATTTATCAGTCACATATGATGGACAATCTCGGTGCAGATAATGCCTTGACGATTAACGTGGTTTCTTAGGGTCAGATTCGGACTGAACACAAACGGTGCGTAAATTAAGTCTGTCAGTAATTATTAGAGAAGACATCTGGCTGGTCCACTTTGCTTTGGTAGAATCGTTTTGCCGGGAAAACGTGGTCCATGATGGCTGCTGAATGATACCTGTATTTTAACCCGAAAGACCGTTGTACATTATACGGATCAATTTTATGTGACTATAATCATGAGGCTTCACTTTTTTGGATCAGCTCAATAAATGTTTCTTCAATGGTCAAACATAAAACAGACCCATCAAGACAGATTGGTTTTGTATGCTTCTGTGTACTAAGTAGGCGTGCTTGTTTCACAGTGCTAGCAGTCAGTCGTCTGAAGTTTTGTTCCACGACCTTCCCAATAGCAGTGCCATTGATCCGTGACTTTTGAGGACAGTAGACAAAACAGCAATTGCAAAAAAACGAAGAAATTCCACAGGTACACAAACGGATATCAAACACATTCCATATCAATCGATGATGTGATAACTATCAGCAAATGACAGAAAGTGGAGAGCTGCGTATTGATATATTCCATCCCATTCAACGAGTTGGATGAACTTACTCGGGGCAAACAATAAGTCTGCTATCAATCCACTTGTCTTGTCGCAGTTTCACTCAATGCTCAGGCTGTTATTTGCGCACAGTCTCCATACTTTTGAAGTTTGTTGGCATTTACAACTCTGGAAAAGTATTTATATTAAATCATAGACATTATTCCCTATTATTATTGGTTTCATTGCTTCTATCATCTACGTTTTAGTGCGTACCCGGTGCAGATATGTATAATTATCATATATTTCAGGATGGATCAGTGGCGTACTGATAGCTGTAACTCGGTAAAGTAATCGACAACAGATGCAAGGTTCGAAAGAAGGACAGAAAGGTTTTAATTTCACCAAGATAATTATATGGCCATCACTCTA